ATCCTATCGCTTCCTTTCATTATATAGGCTTAGGTTACTGAGTTTTTTTGTTTTTATGCGTATATATCCCGTTGTTAGCTAAAAGTGAAAATTTCATATTTATAAAAAGTACTTATTCTCCTAATTAATTTGTCTCCGATAATTTTTGAGAATTTATCATTACCATAGATGAAAATTTTGTTGGACTCAAATTCTTACATACAAAGCATAACTGGGTTTCGATTATTTTTGACATGACGTTTTGGTAGCTTTCATTTTATGTGAATAATGCCTCGACAGTTATGTCAATCTACTCAGTCACCCTTTCGTTGTTACTCAAAACGTGATTTTCTGTAATCATCCTCAAGCGTTTGATATTGCATGTTGTAGCCCCACAAAATAAGTCTAAATCTTGGTTTATCAAGTTGTATAAAAGACTAACTTAACACTATTCTCTTTTATATTAGTTTTGCAGGTGTACTAGGTAAATCTCGTGGTCTAGTCTTTAAGTCACAGACTATCTTCATTATCAAACTCCTATACTGTGAGCTAATTCTGCCTAGTATTAGCCGCATCTCTCAATAATGGAGTTCTGATATAATTATCCTCGAGCCCTTATCCATATTGTCAAATCTGACTTTCCTATTCTCCATTTCTTTGTATGCCAATCCTTCCAAATATTGTATATAGTTAGCTCGTTGACCAGGGCCACTGCGAACATCTTTTCGTTTTCCGATACTCCCTCGGAAGCCTTTTCCTAGGGATTCCCTTTTCTTCATTTTCAAACTAGATATTTTATCTCGTCTCCTTTTTTGCTGATCTTGTTGGTCTTTGATCAGAGTTTCCTTAAGCAATACACACCTTTTTCGCCAGTTCTGCCCTTCTTACAATAATCTCTTCATTAGATTTCTTTCATTCAGGATATCGATACACTCTTTTTTCGCATTCACTTATATATTTACGATATGCGACCAGCTTTTCTGTTGTCTTTCACTCTGGGGTGTACCATCTCTGCTATATGTTATGCTATTTCAATAATATTTGTGTATCCATATTTCCTCTGGATCATTTGTTTTCCTTGATTCCTTCCTGTTTCATGAATATAGTTTGCTCATGGTTACTATATATCATGCAATAAAGTAGAAGAATCCAGTTTGTCAAAACTTCTCTTGTTGCTTATGCAGGCCAGTAAATGTCTTCTTCCTGATTACCTGGATCTTCAATTTTATTAATATTGTTTGCAGTTATTATTTTTGTTCTCTAGAGAGAAGACATCTACTTTTGGTCGTCCCTTATTCTTAAATTTCTTTTCATCGAATCTATATTGCCATTTTCCTTTATGGCCATTATATTTTATAACTTTTCTTATGTAAAATCAGTCTTTTTGTTCGATGTTTCTTCCTAGAACTACATGCCCACTAATCTTAAGCCTCAAATTAAGCTCTTCATAGTCCCGACCTTCAGTCGATAATCATGATGATACTTATTATCGCATGTTATTTCTTTCTATGAATAGTTCTCTTGACTTTCCTGTTGAAGTGAATGACCTCGACATCCAGGATAGTTAGCAGATCATGCTCCATCGTTATTTTCACTTGATTCTTTCGTCAATTTTATTCATAAATTTTAGTAATTCTACATTTTTCCCACAATGCAAAGTAGTCACTTGGATATCGCTCTATTTTAATCGTGTATGCATTTTCTAGAGATCCCTTAAATATTCAAAATATTTGTTCCAACCTATTGCTGTCGAATGTAAAGTATATGATCCATATTTTCGGGTTGATTAAGTACTCCTTCATTTATATCCTCTTATATTTTAAAAATCTCCGGCATGACAATGAGTGTCTTTTCGCATGATTTATTTATGTACATGGATTGTATTTTCAATTCCTGTTAGTCGAAGCTTTTCGATCCTTTGAAAAATTTCTCGCCAATATTTCACACTTTGATAATTTATCCTTTATTTTCTTAGGGCCTTTAGCATATGAATCTCGACAATTTGTTCGCTTATTGCTTGTTGTTGACTTTTTGCCTTAATGGTTCTCTGTGCATCTTCGGTAATCTGTAGGCTTTCGTTGATTGTCGAGCTGAGCTGTGCTAAACTAACCGAAAAGCTGGAAAAATGTATCATTATTTGGTATCACCATCGTTTGCCTTAATCACCGCTTGCAATCTGTTTGGCATCGTTTCTACAAGTCTACAGAATTTTAGAATCTATAATATTCTAGCACTGTTTCAGAGAATTACAAAATGAAATGTGGTGTTTCGTTACTTTTAACCTTTTTGGCGCTTCAAATGTTTCCAATGGCGTTAAATGTGATTGAGGTCCGGTGACTGTAGAGAGAAAGTCATGCAAGTAAAAACTCCTATCTCTTCCTTGGACTAAGTCTGTAACAGCTTGGATGCATGCTTAGGATCATTGTCCTGCTGGAAAATGAATCCTCTTCCACGCAACTTAGTCTAAGGAAGAGCAAGGAGTTTCTATTTACATGACTTTCTCTCCACACTCACCAGACCTCGATCACATTTAACGCCGTTGGGAACATTTTAAGTGCCAAAAGGTTAAACTTATCGAAACATAATAATGCATTCTGTAATACTCTGAAAGAGTGCTGGAATATAATGGATTCACAAATTCTTTAGACTTGTAGAAACGATGACGGATAGATTGCAAGTGGTGATTAAGGTAAACAATGGTGATACCAAATATTGACACATTTTGACTCCCACTAAATACTAGTAGACTTTTGTTGACTTGCATTAGGCGGCTTACATATTAATGAAAAATAATGTAATCCTAGATATGAAGACCAAGATGACGTGGCCTTTTGATTGGTCGCGGTCTCTTTTGGCTCTTTAGTGTTGGTTTGACTTCGTTTTCGCGACTTGATCAGAGCGACATTGAGAAATTGTGGAACGTATTTAGTTATTCGTCTTTTATCTTAGTATTCATGATGCTTTCCAGCATCGTACCGTAGACCTGGGTAATTCCCAAATTTATTCAAATGGTAATTTACCAGGTCAACGGTCCGATGCTGGAAATCCTCACGAATACTATTGCAAAGGACGCAGAACTAGGTACGTTCATCAAACTCCCCCTGTCGCTTCGACTAAGTTGCTAAAACGAGATCGAACCAACATGGAACCTTATTTTTTCGTTTCTAACTAGGATTTCGAGACTATCAGTAACTCATATACCAGACGTGTTCACTATATCTCGTTTAAGGTGATTAAGGACTGGGTAGTTTAATTTTTCCGCAATGATATGAATAGACCTTACTATTCCATTGAATTTCACGTAGCCTTGCTTCCCAAAAGGTATTCCCATTAAGGATGAAATGCAGTTGCCATCTTACCTAGACAGCATCAGCACCCTCAGTGGTACTCGAGCCACAACATTGCATCATTGAATCTTGACACATTAATTATTTCCTCGAAAGTCACATCTACCCTGTGACCAAAGGGCACTCGTGGCAATGTGGCGCAGTAGTTGAGGTGTCGAAATTATACACTACATTGTCATGGTTCGAGTCCCATTAGGGGTGCTGATGAGGCCTAGGCAATTTCGTAGCTACATTTCACCCTTGATGAGAATACCTTAGAGAAGCAAGGTTATGTGAAATTCAATGCAAACTTAAGGTCTATTCAGATCCTTGTTGGAGAATTCAGCTACCATTTCTTCATCCCTTCAAACGAAATAGGGTGAGCACATCTCATTATGTAATCTGTATTTTAAAATTATCAGCTGTGTAAAATATGTATTATTGTTTAGAAAAGATGAGATGAATACAGTTCTTAGTAATGAGGTTGTTTGACCTTGTTTTGACAACATGGTCCTATCGGCAAGAAGACTTAGAGAAACGCACCTAGTGCGGAGTACATTGTATGCATCATCATTTCCAGAGTAGGAACATGGACGTG